TTAATAGAAAAGAATTAGTAAAAAATAATATTTTTTATTAACTTTGTGCCATTCAAAACAGTTTTTGTTCGGCATAACCTTAGCATAAGCGAAAGCCAATCTACTCTATGCCAATCAGTATATTTCTTGTCTTAATTTTTTTTGTTCGCTTATCATTAAGCACATTTTCTAAAATTTTTGCAAATACAATTTTGACTCTAAGGTCACACCTATTCGCACATAGCTTCGTATGTACATATTGAAGTGTTCAATTGTAGTGAGCGAGTGTGTGAGGAAGTGTGTGAGCAAGTACGAGATGGGCTCCCTTCTATGTCTCCCTGCATATAAGCTGCAATGAAAATCTTTCAATTGCGTAAACACGTTAAATATACTTGGTAATATGAAAACGTAAATGAAAAAGTCTTAAATAAATTTACAATAGTAAGAGATGATAAACATTAGAGTCTTTATTAACTTTTCAAAGCATGCAAAAGTAAGCAATTTCATACTGCAGCTAAGGTAAGTGGGTCGTCGAGGGGATATCGGTTAAGCTTTGTTGTTTGCTATTTTTCCCTACAACTAAAGGTAGGCAATCCGAGAACAATCTGTCCAATCCATCAAAGTAGTCCTTTCAATTTCATATAAAATTCCCAACAGGAATTAAGTATCTGACGCAAAAACTCATGCCGAAGCTAATTACTCTTCACTAGATGACTGAGAAAAGATCTAAGCAGATTTTTCTACAACAAAAAAAAAATTGTTGTGTTACAACCATAAGCTCAGTTGTTATAAAAAAATGGATTAAGTCATATGCTCTACCAGGAAAATACTCCTGTAGTGTTTAAAAACTCTATTCTATTCTCCTAATAAATATGAACTAAAATATCCAAAAAGTGCAGGAAAACCATTGTGTGAGAATTTGAAAGTAGATCGATTTATGATTTTTTTTGACACACATTTTCTTAAGATTTTTTATTAAAAAATAAAATAAAATATTAATTTTAATGGGAAAACTTCTCGTTTGTATTTCGTACATAAAACTATTAGGCCAAGTACGATGTATTCCATTATTTTTGCCATAGATGGCTTAAGTGAACTGCCTTTCGCATGCTATAAGAGCAATTGGATTACGCTGGATAATAGCACTAGAAAGGCAATATAATAATACTTCGTACTAAAGAAGCTAAAAGTAGAAGTCACTTAACTCGGTAGTGTTTGAGCGCAAATCAGAGATGGAGACCAGCAACGAGAAAAAACTCTGCATTCTACAAATTTTCATCGATAAAGGTGAAAACTCAAGTCAGGCAGTTGAAAATGTGAACAGTGTCTACGGATCTGCTACCATAACAGTCAATCAATCACAATTTTGATTTTGCCGATTCCGTTTCTGTTTTTTTTATGTAATTTGCTCCATGATATACCACACTATCGTGGGGTGTGAACACAGTGGGATCGCTCTTTTGATTGCACAGAAGCTAAACAATGCACAAAAAATAGTTTGGAATCATTCGGGAAAGGCTGGTTACATAAATAAGCTCATGAGTTAACAAGAAAAAACTCTTGGTCCGAATCGTAGCAAAGCCACTCAGTTTGAAGCGGATGGTGACTGGTGATGAAAAGTGAATTAATTATAGCAACGTCAAATAAAAACGATAGTGGGCGAAAGGTACTGTAAAAACGGTCTACAAGCCAAGATTCACGTTTTTGTTGCGTGTTTGACGGCATTGGCGAGAAATCATCCACTATGAGTTACTTCATTAACTCGTCAAACTCTTGATTTGGGTCCGTACTGTCAGCAATTAGACCGTCTGAAGGAAGAAGTTGGCCAGAAGCGTCCCGGTTGGGCTGGCATGAGTAGAATTCTATTCCAACAGGATAAAGTCAGAAAGTGCCTTGCTAGAAGCTCCGAAAGCTTGATTGTGAGGTTCGTATGTATTCACCTTATAGTCCGGAGCTAGCACCAAGTGATTACCATCTACCATACCATCTAATCCAGACTTTTTCAGTAGTGGCTAGTAGTGTGTAGTACCAGTTTGGTCTCCGGATGTCACACCACGTCAAGTAATGAATATCAGCATTTCCGAACACCCAATAAGTAATAATACAGAAAAATAATGTCTTAAGATGACGAGAAACAGATGATGTGGTGAAAATTAAACACCATTAGATGATGAAGCCGAGTCTCCAATCGATGATGTTGGATGAGAGGTTTCGATAGCCGATTATTAAGATGTTTTTTTTTTTTATCGACAATTGCTCTTCTGAAGAAGAACAGCAGTGGGAAGCAATAAATTTGTTATCCCCCCAAAGCTTATATGGCTATGGCACCTGACTCTGAGCAACTCCATAAACTCCCTTAGGTTTAGGAATTACCTCTCTGACCCACTCAATGTCAAACGAGACGGCTTTTTGTCGTATGCCAAAGAATAGATATCATCTGCCCGAAGAAACACGCCCTAGCTTCTGTTTCCTTCTTCTCCTGAATGGAAATGAAAGGTAGGCGAGTGGGTTTGGTAGTGAGAACGAGGACAGGACGAAACATCTTCTGTTATCAATCAAACAGTCATCGCATTCTCGACACGTCTCCCACAGCACTGCTGACAGTCACAAACTCGGTGTCGTAGTTTATTTCGTCTATCTTGCAATCAACATTAACACCAAATACAATGTCTTGCTTTGAAATCCAACTAAGAATCACTATCGCTAACAGTTGCTACCTGGGACTGTGTTTGGAATTGAAAAATATAGTCCTCTTTCGCCGAACAAACACCAAACTCTACTAGTCGCTTATTATTCCCGTTTTACTAGAGGGTGTAGAAGCGTGGACGTTGACATTTGGTTAGTCGGTGCGAGAAGAATATTCTGGACTCCGAAACTTTGTGCTAATGACTTTTAGAGTAGTCTAACCTTGTACCCGATTTAAGGATCCCAGATTCCATGCTCTCTTATCGAAGTTAAGCTCGCTTTTTCAAAATTGTAGATAATTTTGGTTTGTGTGAAAGCTTTCCGGACGTGAATCCGAAATCCTTGCGCTGATAACAACACTGAGTATTTGACAATTTGTTTTGTTAAATGCCTAAATTGTTGGTTTCATCCCCAGTTTAAGTAACTGAATTAAACAAATAAATCGACATATTTCTTTTAATACAAATTTTTTTCGCGTTCACCAGGGAAGTTCAAAAAGTTCCGTTATGTCAAGCAATATTTGTGTTTATTTAATTGACTACTTCAATGGATTGCTGTCTAGTCTATCAACGAATTAGAAGATTCTAAAAATTTCAGTTGTGTCTGTAATCTCAATATTTCAACTGGCGAAGAAAACGAATAATTTATTTTTATTATTGTAATTAAAGTTTTAACTAGCTTACCGTATTTACTAAATCCGTAGGTTTCATATGCTGAAAGTTTTATTTCTATTTGCATTTTAAGTTTAAATTTGTTGTAAAGCGATTGAGAAAAACATGCAAACTCTTTAACTAATTTAAAGCAATCTTAATGTTAGTACAAATGGATTTATTAAAAAATGTTTGCTATAAGTGAGATAAATATGAATTATTACTTATGTAATATTTTTCCACACTAACGGTAAAATTCATTGTGATTTCTTTATTTTTATAATTTTTTATTTTTATTTTTTTGAAGTAATGCAGGTGAAATTGCAATGGCGTAATGGCACGCATTAGAAATCATTTAAAAATTATTTAAAAATCAACAATGAGCTTTTTCTTACTACGAACTACAGCGTTGCACTAATAATATAATACAATGCAAATTACTATTTGTAATAAATTTCGGAATGAATTGAAGTATGAGCAGCTAAAGCATTATGAAAGCATAATTAGCATTATGAAGCGAAAGTTTTCGATTTAAAACGAAAGCTTCTCACACACGCTCTGCACTTTCGCCACGAAGTTAAGTGCGTGAGAGTGAAAAGCTTTCGAGTTAAAACGCATTTAACGGCATATTGATTGCCATTTTTCTTCTTCTTTTTTTTTTGTTTATTTGCATTTGAAAAAGAGCCTAAAAATACGTATCGACTTTGGACCTGTTACTATTCGTTTGACATGTTTAAATATTATTTTATGTAAGTTTAAAATGCTCAGATATATACTCGTACATAAGTATGTCTATATTAATGTACGTATCCACTTATAAACATAAATATGTACATACATACATATGTAGGCTTATAACTGGTGTTGGCATTACACTTCTTTGAGCTTTTACATTCACAAGTTTGTGGAGTTTTTTCGTTTTCCATATACATAGCTTTCACTTGCACATGCAACCTGGACATTGTTTCGTTTCGTTTGTGATTTTCGTGCTTTTCACCTGTTTTATATACACAAGCATGCGGTTGTAACCAAGCTTTAGTGGGAGTTAGTAAGCTTTTTGTGTACATCCAGCCATATAAATAATATACATGTATTGGTAATTGCCGAAAGAGTGTGAAGCTTTGGGTATTGAAATTGTTTTGTAGAAAAAAAAAATGGAGCTTTCAAGTATCTCAAAACATCAAAGCATAAATGAAAGTATTCTCACACTTTTTTTTTTTTTTGATAGATTCGGAAATTCGGAAGGTGGTCTTTTATAGCACGAAGTGTAAGCAGTTGTTTATGTTTGTTTACAGTTTTTTTTTTTTTTGATTAATTACTAAATATTGTATGTGCAACATGTGTATACCTTATGTAGCCACATTGCTAATCCATACATGTACTAAAATGTATTTCAAGTATTTTCTATTGTATTTACTATTTATCTTAATGTTTATCATCTTTACGAAGCATTTTATTGCTTTCTTTCTTTTTAAAATATAAATAACAATAAAATTATAAGAACAAAAGTATATCTCTAAAAAATTTTTAAATCATATATTACGTAAAAATAAAGTAATTTTAATAAATCGAAATCGAAATCGAAAATAAGTGATAGTTAGCCAAAGAGTAGAGATAGTGAGAGAGAGAGAGAGAGCGTAAGAGAGAAGTAGATAGAAAAATAAATAGCAATAGAGTTTTGCGCACCTTTCCCCACCAGTGCCGGCGCCGACATCAGCTAAAGCTTCGCCGCCATCGGCTTCGGATGACGAGCCGCGCGACAATGCCCCACGTATCTCACCTGGCAGAACTTCTTCACTGCGGTGCACCGTAAATGAGTTCTTACCCTTCTTTCCAAAGCCCATACGTCTTTTACGACCTTTATATATATATATTTTTAGTATAGTATGTACATATGTACATTGATATTCGAATAATTTGATAATGCTTTTATTATTATTTTTTTTTTCTTTTAATTTATGATGACTAATTTAACGTTTTTTTTTTGTTTTTTTTTTTGGATTTATTGCTTGAATACTTTTTTTTTGGCATGGCAATGTTTGTAATTCTATATATACTAATGTATGTTTGTAAATTGTAAAATGAGGTCAAAGTGCCGATAAAAAATGAATATGCATAATTTAAATGAGTTACAATGTTAAGTAGCGATAATAAAATTAAAAGAGAAAAAATAAATAAATCTTATCAGCAATACTAAACTATGAGCGCGTTGAATATGAAAGCTTAAAAAAAATCATTCATTATTCATATGTTTAATTTGAATTAATTTTTTTTCGATTTTTCTTATTTTTAATTTCCAGCTTTCTTGCACTGAAAATATTCAAATAATATTCTATGCAATGTTGATATGAAAATCGTACTCGATTTCTATTGAATGTTTAGTGTGTGCTTGTATGAGTATGTGTGTGTACTTATCTAATGCGAAAGAGTAATTATTTAACAAATATGCCGTTATGAAAAAAACTGTTAAAACTGTTAGCAATAAACTGGACGTGCCCTTACCTGTAGCTGATAACTGTGATGTGGAGTTGGATTTTTTACCCATACCACTGCCGCCCTTTGGTGAACGCTCTTGCTCTACAGCGCCTTTTTTCCGATCCGTTGCTGTATCGGATAAGCTGCCATCTAAGTGGGAATACAGAGAGTTAGTGGATTTCACATAACAAGTAGATATAAGAATGAGAAAAAAATAACTAGAAAAAAAACACCAAAAATATGTATATAAAAGGAACTACGGACATGGAATAATTCACACCACAACAAAATGTTTTAGAAGAAAGGCCATAGAAGTGGCTCTTAGTTAAATAATTTGAAAGAATTAAAGAAGTTAGCGTCGGTGTACTTCAATGAATAATTCAAAAATCAATTATCGAATAGGTGCGAGGAGGATTTCTCTACTAATGAGCTTCACGGCAAGTGGATAAACATATCGAATCCAAACATAGCAACTCAAGGAGTCATAAACAAGTCAGTCATAACGAGTCAGTGAGCTGGAGTTTTGCATTGGAAAATAAGTAAATTAATTAAATATAATTGATTATTCGCTTCAAAATTAACTTAATTCATTTTAGTACTTTTTGCAATGAGCTTCCCTATTTCTTATGATATTGAGAAGCTATTGAGAATAATTGCAACAGAAATTGAACTATTAAGTGGATATTGTTGCGTCATATTCTCTTACTTAAGTAAAAACTTCTTCAAATGCGCTACTCTCCTAGACATACTTATTTCGACGAGTTATTTCTCTTAACCTCGTACTTTCCAATAAATCCCATATCCACTTGTATGCTATAAAGTCAACAATATTTCCTTCCTAATTCAATTTATTTTGGTTTACATAACAAATAAATACCGACTTTATATCCGGTTTATAAATAGCTTAGAAAGTATATCTAATGTTCTGCTACACAAACACATTTCACATAGACGCATACCCTGCAGGGAGGTTTATGGGAGATGATGAATTAGAATTATAGCAATCAATTGAAACCAGAAAGTAGTAACGTTAGTAACAGATGAAATAATTATCTGTTATTGGGCCATTTATAAAGTGGTTTCTCATTTACGGCAATATTTGTTTGAATTTACTTTACTTTATTTTATGGTATTCCAGTTTCTGATATGAAATAAAAGCTCCTCGTAAAAGAAAACCATCAGCCCGTCGCAGGCGGCTTAGTATAAACTGTAGGTCCCTCGGTTGTTGGAAAAACATCAAGACGCAAAACCACAAATTGGCGGAGGAAAATCGCTTCAGCGGTTACAAAGCGACAAAGTAATTAATTTTGTGTTTTAATAATTTTACCAAATTAAATTTTGGTTTATTTTGTTTTTATATTTAATTAATTTTTTTTGTTCAATTTCGTTTTATTTTATTTTAATTAATTATATTTAATTTTTTACTTTATTTCTTTTTATTACCATAAATTATTTTATTTTATTTATTTAATTCAATTTTAAGTTTGGTGTAATAAATTTAATTTGATTAAATATAATTTTATTTAGTTTCATTTCATTTAATTTTATTTTTATTTGATTTTGATTTAATTTAAATTTAATTCGTTTTATTTTGTTTTACTTTTTTAATTGATATTTATTTATTTTTGTTGTGTTGTGCTATTATTCCTTTTACTTTTTTGTTTTGTTTTATTTTATTTCATTTCAATTTTCTTTATTTTATTTCATTTTATCGTATATTATTCATTTTTTTAAATAATTTTTGTATAACTTCATTTCATTGTTTTTTATTTAGTTTATTTTATATATATTTTTCTTTATTTTGCCTTCTATATTATTTGAGTAATATCAGTTTTAAATTTGAATACCTACAGGGTGTTAATGCATACTTAAACAAATAGTTTTAAATACATATAAGTACAATACACACTCATATACATATTGGCTTACCAACTTTCTCATCTACACTCTGACTAAAGTTGGCATCGTCCTTCTTCTCCTCACCACCACCACCGTTCTTATCTTTATCATATTCACTGAAATCATCATCCAACATGGCGTCAATGGCATCCCAATCGATGACGTCAAGTGGCGCGTCGGCATCATCCGTTGCGGCGGCATCGCCAGCGGAAGTCGTTGTATCACCGGTATTTGTTGTTGTGGCAGCAGGATTTGTTGTTGTTGTTGTTGTCGTCGTCGTCGTTGTCGTCGCGGTTGTTGTTGAGGTTGTTAACGTTGTTGACGGCGTTGTTGGTTTTGTTGTTGTTGTTGTATTCGACGATGATGTGGTTGTGATGTTTGTGGATGTAGTTGTTGTTTGTATGGGATTTGTAGTTGTAGTTGATGTTGATGTTGTTGTTGTTGTTGTAGTAGTTCCGTCAACGTTTACGTTTCGGTTAGCGTCGTTAATTGTATTTGTATGTTTCAATGAGGCACGTTTAGGTGATGTGGAGTTAGCGACACCATGATGGGAATTTGCAAAAGAGGAAGAAGAAGCATTATTAGAAATATTACCACCGACGACGATATTACCAGCAGCAGCAGTAGAAGAAGCACCACCACCACTACCACTCCCACTACTAGATTTCGTCTGTTGTTCCGCGCCGTATGAAACTTCTTTCCCTTTTTGCCTAACACTACCACTACTACTAACATAACTACCACTACTAGCATTTGTTGCATAATTACGATTACCACTACCACTACTAGTGTGCGGGTCTGTGTAGGGATCACCGTAATCATCGTATTCAAAATATTCGGGTTGGTCATTTATACTAACGAGATTACTGCGATCACTCCCCGATTCATGTTGTAACTGTTCTACTCGTGTACGGCCGGTGGCCATTGATGATTTACTGCGCTTCGAGACAATCGATGAATGATGACGTGCCTGACTTGGTGACGAGCCCGGCCCGGCTGAGCGACTGAGATCGCGCGGATCACGATGTTCGCCAATAGGTCCCGGTCGCTCAGCGGTGCCTGTGCCATTCATGGGTGGTGCGTCGCCACTATGCGGTGGCAGCGTAGCAGACGAATGTGTGGTGGGATCCATTAGCATTGGGTCGTCGTCATACCCTTCAACGGGTGAAAAGTTGTGAGCATTTTGTGCGCTTGGTGGATGCGGTAGATTGCGCCGCCTCTTTTGGTATGGCAGTGCAGCGCCGTAAAGCTTTTCCTGATTGGTGCGTTGCAAATTCAATGACATGTGATTACGTTCGCGGCCATCAAATCGGCGTCGGGGATCGTGGAACACAGATGGTGCAACACCGCGTCGCGTCCAGCCCACGTCCGAGTCGTAGGTTATGGTGACGATTTTATCGTCGGTGACAAGAAAATGTGAGTGACTAAGCGGATTGACTGCATCGACATTGGCGCCCATATAAGATTGTCGTATATTTGTTTCAGAGCCGTAGCGACGCGAGAGTTCTTCCAGCGACGGATCGTATATCTCATCTTCGTATCTTATGCGACGACGACCCCAACTTTTAGCATGTAAATCATCATAATCTAAGGAGCGTGACTGTCCCTCTTGAAACATTTTTCGACGATCTAAAGTTGCGCCCGTCGGAACGCCCACTTTCGGTTTTTTCAGTATTGAAGTAGGCTGGGCCTTTGATTCGGAAATGGGCACAGCTGTTATCAGAGCATCCTCGCTTAATTGACGCGAGAGACGCAGTACCGATTGTGTGGGCAGTTGTGGTGGCGGAGCAAGTGAGGACTTGGCCTTTTTGTGCGCCGTTGGCGTTGGGGTATGTACATGATAGGTGGGCACAGCGCCCAAGTCTATTTGTGGTGCGGTAAAACCGCTCACGAAATGCTGATCCACACATTCGCCGCAAATTGCCGGATCCATAGTTGGCAGTGAAGGCTCTGACGATGGCTGGTACATGGATAATGACGGTCTACGTAGCAATTGCTCAGCTGTGTATGGATAGGCGACAGGATGATGCTGCGGATGTGGATGGGATTCGGCAATGCAAAAGGGATTGTCGCAAGCGCCAATGGCAATGCCGGGTGTAGTGAGTGCCGCATTGGTCGATAAGACCACCGGTTGGCTACCGTTCTGGCAGTGGCTACAAGTATTGTCATAATGATCACGCACATAGGCAATGTACGATGAGGGTGATGATGATACGGAATGAGCGTGCTGATGTGGTGTATTGACCGCGGCAGCAGTCGGTGTATTTAGACTTGAGCTCGGACTATGACGAAATAAGCTGACTACTGGCGATGTGAGTCGCTGAAGTTGATCGTAGAATGGATAGTGGCTACTAGACCCTAGCGAGCTATCACGTTGGAAAATCTTCTCGGTGAAGGGGCTGAAATCGGCTGCATGCGGCCAAAACTCAGGGAAATGTATGGAACTCGGTATGTGTGGTAAATACTGATGCGGATTAAATGTATGGGGGTGTGACTGTGGATGTAATGGCTGTTGTTGTGTGCTGATTGTGTGCGCTGGCGGCGGCAGCGGCGGCGGTAATGTGGGTGGAGGTGTAGGCGGTATCACCGTTACACCCGCCGGCGGCTCGTGCATAAAATGGTCGACCAAAATGTTGCCGCTACTGTCGCCCATCATCACTTGGCTTGGCAGTTGTGTTGGTTCAATTAGCTGTTGCTGTTGTTGTTGTTGTTGTTGCTGTTGTTGCTGCTGTAGCAATTGTCGGTGTGGTGGCAATAGATGATGTGGTGGTGTATTTGTCGTTGTTGCAGTACTTAGCAAGTTGTGTGGATTGGACGTCGCCACCAAGGCTGCCGTATTCGGTGGCGAATCAGCTGCCGCCAACTCGGCGAGCTGCTGCAGCTGCTCCAACTGTTCGAGCAGCAACATTTGCTGTGACATTGCATTGAAATGTGGCGGCGACTGCATCTGCATGTCGTAAGCGGTTAGCGGCAGTCCGGTGAGGCTGGTTGGTAAAAAATCACAATCATCGACCTCGATCGTATTGGCGCGATAACGTTCAAAGAAGCCGCGCCCGCGCCCGCGAGCTTGTGCATGGTGGCCAGCAAGCGTGCTGGTGGGGACACCGCCAGGCATGGGGTCGGCGCCGTATAGTGAACGCCAATTGCGTGGCAAGCTTTTGAGGTGAGTGTGGAGCGGCCCATTGTGGTTAAGGGGTTTGTATTTTGTTGTTATTTTCAATTTGATTGTGTAGCCGCGTGTTTTTTTTTTTTTTTTTGGGTGAGCGGAGACGGGTTTGTGTGGTTATGTTTCGGTTTGTATTTTTTTTGGTTGCATTTTGTTTTGGTGTTATTTTGTTGTTGTTATGGTGTTGATTAATCCGCATGCGCATGCAAAAATGCCAAATGATCGATGAGGGATCATTTCGGGTTCAATTTTGTTTGTTGGAATTTTGTTTTAGTTGTTGTTGTTGTTGTTGTTGTTGTTGTTGGTATTTTTGTTTGTATTTTCATTTTTGCGATAAAAAGCAAATTAATAAAATTTTATTAAAAATTATGCACCGAAAATTATTTCAAAATTGCCATATAACGGTTATGTTGCGATGTTGTGTTGAATGCGTTGGTTGGTGGTTTGGTTGTTTGGTTGTTTAGTTGTTGTTGTGGTTGTTGGTTTTCGTCAGTTCGTCAATTTTTATAGTTGTTTTTGTGTTTGTTGGTGTTGTATTGTTGTGTGACATTTGCATGTGTCCATCGATATTACATTAAATTGTTGTTGTCATTGTAGATTTATTTTGTAGTTGTTGTTGTATTTTTATTTTTCATATTTTTAAAACATTTTTGGCGTACATACATATAAAAGCAATTCAACATAAAATTAGCGGGCGTCATTATTGAAGTGAAGTAGAGTAGATTTATTTTTTTTTTTTTTTTGGGTTGAGTTGAGTAGATTTTGTTGAGTTGAGTAAAAGTTGAGTTGAGTTGAGTTGAGTTGAGTAGAGTAGAGTAGGTATGTAGGTATGTAAAAAATAATAAAGAAAAGAAAACAAGTTTTGTTTGTCTTCCACAAAGGTTGTTGCCATATTAAGCAAATGTGTGTTTATAGTGCTCAAAAACATGGCAGGGTTGCATTTATGTACTTGAGCAGAGAATTTCGCTTGAACTCAATTGTATCGCATCGAATTTGTTTTGCTAAATTTTTGCAGATGTTAAAAAAAACAACAAAAAACTAAAAATGTGTACAAAAAATTTGTTGTAAAATTTTTGCTTTTGTGTCTGATTTCAATTACGCTAATTCCACATCTACTAATTTTGTTTTTGTAACGGCTGATTGTTCGACTGATTTGAGCTATATTTTCTGAAATGATTTGGCGCGTTTTGGTACGTTTATTTCTTTTTGTTTTCGCATGGTTTTGGTGCAGAAAATTTTGTTTACCGGCTGCTTACAATAAACACACAGCAACCCAAAACGAAAGCTTTTTCTATTTTTTTGTTTTTTTTTTTTGGTGGAAAATATGGGAAAAGCCGCACGGCTAGTAAGCCAATCAAGCAGCAGAGTTACTTACCTGAGTCCTCGTGAACCACGCGGCCGTTCCGATTGTGTAGAGAAGGCGCTCGATGTCACACTAACCACCGACTCCATATCCGAGTCACCGAACTCGCCCATGAAATCTTTGTCGGGTGATAGTGAGTGTCGTGGTCGTGCACGCGCTTCCATCGACTGTAGATCGCTGTCCGAGAGGCCCGTGTAGTGACGCTCCCAACCACCCATGCCGGTGCTGCGGTATGTAGCCTGATGGTGCATTTGACGCGTACGATGTCGCCCGAATCGGCCGCCACCGGGTCGTTCGTCGAATTCCTGACCCAAGCGATCGCGTAGCATAGCGCTGCGTGACGTTTGCGGCACCTAACAAGCACAAGCGAAAGGTAATATGGCACAAATTTTCAAATTTCTGATTCGCTTCAATGTTTTACCTGTGGTAGTTGTCGCTTTTTGGGCGATCCCGTTGGTGTGGCTGTGGCGGAACGCGATTGAAAACGGCCCTGTTGTGTTGTGGCACCACCTAAACCAACACCACCAATATTGGCCGACAGAGAGCTTGCGCCACTCGGTAGTGTGTGCCCGTACGCGGAGCCGGCAACAATACCACCACCAGCACCAGTTGCGCGTATTGGAAGAACTGGATAGTCTATGTAACGATCGTCGGGCGGTGAGAGAGAACCGCGTCGCGGGCTACTGCTGCGATAATAACTGTGACCACTGCCGGTCACGCCGTGATAACTGTCGGTCGGTGCGGCTGAGTGACTACGTTGGCTGAGACTCATGCCACTGGGACCTGTAATGGCGCCATTGCGACGCAAGTAACCGGTGCTCACCTGCTGTGGTCGATGTGCGATACGTTGGATGAATATGTAAATATAGAGAAACAAATTTGTTAATACATTTATTTATGCGTATTAACTCACGCTCGACGCAAGAATTAAAAGAAACGAGTGATTGCGTACACATAAAAACCGTTTGTACTTGGAGAAATTTAGTTTAACAAAAGAAAAGATTAAATAAAATTTAAAATTTGGATCTTATAAGTTATTAGTTGTTAACAGGCAAGCAATTTTTAGTGTTTTTTCTTTGTGATTTTTAATTGAAAATATTTAATTAAAAGTTCATACGATTTATAAACATATTAGCAAATACTAAGAGCAGAATTATATTACAACAGCTTTAACGAATTTCAAAAAACATTTGCTCTCAACTACTACTAGTACTAAACTAACTACGAGTACTAAATATCGAAGCGGTACAAAATAGTGAGGTATGTTACTAGAGGGCGCAGCTTGGGCGAGTACTGTACTGTTCGTTGGGACATTGTTGTTGTCAAGCTTTGCAAAATATATGATATATGCATTGTAATTGGCATGAAAGCGTTGATGGTTGATTGTGGACTATTATCCTAATGATCCCCTGATTTTAGTTTATTTGATTTAATATTGCTTTGTATTTTTATTGTTTATATTTATTCTTTTTTATTTTGGTTTAACTTATAGTATTCTTACTTTTTTGGTGAATTGGCTTTCATTTATATCATTTTGGAAAAAAAAAACTTTATCCTATTTCTTAATTTACTTTATTCTACTCTTTTTTTGTTTGATATTATTTTTATAAATTATTTATCTCAGCTCATTTCTTCTCATTATGAATTTATATTCTTATTCCTCATTTTATCTCTCCTCTTTTATCCTCTTATATTTATTTTTTTTTTTAATTTTATTTAATTTTCGATTAAAATATCTAATTTATTTTATTCCATGCTACCTTATATTATTTTATTAGAATTTGTATTATCTTTTCCTAATTTATATATTTTTTAAATTTGTTCATTAATTTATTTTAATTCAAGTTATTTGCTTTGGATCTTATTTCATTTTTTTCTGTTTTTTATTTTCTGTGTTTTTATATAAAATTAAAGCCTGAAATTTCATGAAAAAAAATGATTTTTTTTTAACTAACAGCTAATATATTTATTATTATTTTATATTATTTTATTTTGTTTCAATTCGGCTTATTTTATTTCATGCTTAAATTCTATTTGATTTGATTAATTTTATTCCTTTTATTAATTTTAGTTTTTTTTTATTAATTCAGTTTTTAATTTATTTTATTTTTTAACTTATTTTATTTTATTTCATTATATTTTTGTTTAAATTATTTTATTTCATTGTTTTTTATTTTGTTTTATTTAACTTTTTATGTTACTTGATTTTATATATTTTGTTGTTTTATTATTTATTTTGTAATTATTAAATCATTTAATTTTACTTGTTATTTTTGATTTAAATTATCATATTTTATATTCTTTTATTTAATTTTGTTTTATGTTTTTATATTCTAATATTTTCTTTTATTTATTTAATTTCACTTACATTTATTTTTATTTGTATTGGATATCTAAACTTTGTTCGATTTTCTACTTTACTTTACTTTATTTTATTTATTTTATTTCATTCACTTTTTTATTTTATTTTAGTTATTTCGTATTATTTGCTTTTTTTCAATGTATATATTAACTTTCGTTATTTCCATTTGACTGTTTAATTAATTTTACTATATTTTAATTTGGATTTCATGTTTAAAATTCTATTTGATTCGATTAATTTTATTTTTTTATTAATTTTAGTTTATTTCAGTTTTTATTTTATTTTATATTACTTTAATTTATTTTATTTTATTTCATTTCATTTTATTTTATTTTATTTTATTTTATTTTATTTTATTTTATTTTATTTTATTTTATTTTATTTTATTTTATTTTATTTAACTTTATTTTATTTTATTTTATTTTATTTCATTACAATTTTGTTTATTTAATTTTAATTGACTTGATTTTATTCTGTTGTTATTTTTTTTTATTTCTTTAATTTGCATTAATTTAATTTATTTAGCTTCATATGATAATATATATACTTTACATATATATATATATAATATTTTATTTAATGCTACTTTAATTTCATTAGTTTAATTTAATTATTTAAAAATATTTTTATTATTTTACATTTATATTTTTTTTTCGTTTTAAGGCAATTGCTTTGTTTTAACAGTATATTGATCACTTTTAATTACATTTTATGGATTTTGTTTTGCCTTTTACTTCATTTCGTTTTATTTTATTTAATTTTATTTTTCATTTTGCTTTTTTTATTTATTTATTTTAATTTAATTTAATTACTTTTTCAATTTTATTTAATGTCGTATTATGTTGTTTTATTTGATGTGATATTATTCAACATTATTTTATTGTCTTTTTATTATTTTATTTGCTTTTATTTTATTTTGATTAATCCAATTTAATTTTGTTTAGAAATTTTTATTTTTTTTATTTATTTATTTACAAGTTTTTTTTTTTATTTTATTTATAACATATTATAATTTTTTAGGGTGCCCACTATTTTTTTTGTAATAATCGCTGCATCAGAAAATTGAGCAGAAACAGACGCGGAACGGATTTCTTAGTCGAGTAGTAGGAATATTGCTAATTTAATATTTTAAATATATATGTGTTGAAGATGTTGTTCCCCTTTTGAGTCAATGAATTTGCTGCGCGAAATATTTTAAACGAAGAAAATAAGAGCTTGAGGTATTATAGAAGAAACCATGTCACCGCGATTGTCGAACCCATTATTCTGTGATGTTAATTATTATTTAACTTAATGTTATTTTAAATTAGAGAGCAGTGTTTTTGGGTTTCTCTGCTTGCTTTTGAACAGTCCAATTCAGCTTATTATTAAAGCTTGTCTCCTTTTTAACACTTCTACTTAGCCATATATATATATATATACAAACACATATGTGCCTACTTATTTTCAAAATTGCTCTCAAACCTGATTATGATAACTTTGTCCAATGCCAGATACCGTACGATAATCACGTGCTACCATACCAGCTACACGTTTACGACCTTGCGGTGACATATCGCGCCTCGAGCGACGCTCATTCAAATCGATCTGTAGTTAGGCGGCGCCAATTCCCAAATTTTTAACAACCCAAATGTGAAGTTCATATACAAAGTTGTATATAAACATATACAATATGTGCATAAGTAGTTGCATTTTATTTATTTAATGAAGGCGGATGAGTTTGTGCAACGTAGGTTTGGAATATCAAAATGTCGTAGGATTGGAAATATTATTTTTAAGGTTAGAGATGAACGTGATTTTTTTTTTATTTTTTTTTTGATTATGTCATTTTGAAAGAGTATGAAAGAGAGAAGAGAAAAAACGAATAATATAAGTGAAAGATAGAAATATGGCAAAATTAACAATGCTACAACTATGAGAAATTTTGTTATGGGGAAATTTATTTATTATTTCTTCTTTCAACAGTGGATTATAACTAATTGGGATTTTGAGGTGTTCGATTTATTTTTTAACACAAAAAAAAGGCAATATCGAGTTTACAAATAGGAAAGTATTTAAAATGGTACACATGTCTGTAAGTTGGAAAAAGCTGGTATGGAATGGCAGACTTACGCTACGTATTTGAATGGGAGTGTCAAGTGACTGGGGCATGTGAAATGGTTGGCGTGCTATGTTAGTGGCTACAATTTGAACAGGCAGTGAATGGGTTTTTGGGCAGTTGTTTGGAATATGTACCGTAATGTGGTTGCAGTGTTATGAAAAAGTGGCTTGACATTTTTCTGTAGGTACCACCTATAAGTACAGCGATTTTTTTTTTGCTAAGCTGTGGTTTATAACATACATTCAGGCACAAAACCAATGCATATAGCCTTAAAGCATATAAAGAATACATTGAACACAGAAAGTTACTAACAAAATTCACATACACATATATAGACGAAGAATACTAAATAGAAATAAAATTGCATGCATTTTAGCGCTAGAAGAAAATACAAATAACTAGAATTGAAATAAATATTCTTAGCCACAAGTGCGGTTTTAGTAATAAAAACTTTTTTAAGAAAGTTTATATATGTATATATATATTGTGGGCTAATAATAATATTGATTTTCTTTTTAAGAAAACACCTTTTGCCAAATTTTACTTAAGTATGTGTTCTCATTAGTTAGCTAATATACTTAATTGTACATTGTAAAGGCAATTTCTTAATAATCATGGGATATTTTACATTATATTTTTCGCTTATTTTTCTATATTAAAATATTTGTAAATTCTTACATTTATTTTCACACATTTTTCAACAATAATAAACACTCTTTCTCGTCAAATTTTCAAACAAGTATAATATTTGAAGCTGTTTTCATAAAACCACACATGAATTGCGCTTAAGTTTCTGGTATTGCTGTAGTTATCAAAAAAAAAAAAACCAAAAAAAAAACAAAAAAATACCAAAATAAAATCAAATGCAATAAATTCGCGGAAAATGTCTACATCTATACTCGTATTTATATTCACTTGTTTCAAAAGTTCATAATTTCATTACAAAATCAAGCACACTGCTAAGAAAGAGACAGAGAGAAGTACAGTAGGCGAGAGAGATATCTACTCATAATTCCATTTACAACAGAGTCAATCAGCAAATATATATGTATGCGTGTGTGTGCGTGTAAGAGAGAAATGAATATGTATGTGTTGGTAGTCATTACAGAAGGCAAGTTCATTTAGATTTAGTATTAACACATATAGAGAAACTAATATATGGAGATCTGGCTTAGTAGAGAAAAAACTTTCATACGAAACATATTATAAACAAAATAAGCTTATTTAACATACATATGTATACGCACTTATGTATTATATAATAAAAATTATACCCATACATATGCAGACATTTATGTTTGGCATTAATAAATAATAAAAATTTTTTTTTTCAGTAGAAAAATGTGCATTTATAATAATTACAAAAATAAAATAAAGTGTGACAATGTCAAATACCTCATAATGACTGTGTTTGGTGTTCGATGTATGTTTCCTGATATGATATGTTTAATATTTGATATTCGACTTTAAATGTTCGCATTCGATACAGATTTTACGTAAATATTCGATCGTAAAACAATTTCCGATACTTTCGTCACTCGTTGGTGTTGACACTGTTATTACGAGCAACCCTAATAAGATTGTGTCAAACTAGCACATATACATATGTTTGAAAGCTGAGATCTCAAGCAATACATTAATTGAAAATAGTTTGTATGAAAAGATGAATTTATTTGAAAATTAGTTAGTAAACGCTGGACTTGGAATATTGTTGTGAAAGAGCAACTCTTTCCGGACAGTCAGTCATGCAAAAAAGCCAATAAAGTTCTGCAACTGATAGAGAAGGAACTTCGTAAAAGCTGTACGGAGTTATTAGGTAAAATAATATGGGTTTTCCAATAAAAGCTCGATGTTTTGAATTAATGGAAAAAATGAGATTGACCAAATCCTTAATAGAGAAACATTTCTGTAAAGCTAGAAAATTAAACCATTTCAGAAGCGACGGAAAACGAACGATGAAAAATGGTTAAATATGCAAATATAAAAAAAAAATCGTTATCATAGACCAGTGATCCTCCATAAACGAGCTAAATATCTTAATCGACGGCCAACAGGTGGAATGTATGGTAGAATCGGAGACTCGATAATTCCTCTACAACCTATTGTTAATAATTAAATAGCTTAGAAGCCCTTTATAATAAAAAAATCGATAAATAGCATAAGTGTTCTGCTTCATCAGACCACATCCGTCTCTGACAATCACGAAAAAATTGACGGAGCCTGATTAGGAAGTTTTGCTGATTATTATTTTTCAGAATCAATTGTAGATCTTTCCGTCTTTTGGTAAGACATCAAGGCGCACAATGCAAATCGAAGGAGGAGTTGGGCCTAAATATAGCTAAGGCTACAAAGCGCCAATTATATATGTACAATATTATAAGGAGTTTTTCAAAAATTAATATTTTTTAATTACAACTTGGTAACAGAAATTAATTATTATTTTTTTGTTGTGAAAGCTGCAAAACTTCTTCCTCATCCTAAAAAGATTTTAAAATCGAAAATTTTTGAAAGATACGGACAGTTTTCGTCAGCAAAGCTGAAGTTTTTTGAAGGTGGTGTATTTCAAAATACTTCAACTTTGGCTTTTTTAATCGATTCCTTCATGATTCTCTTAACATATGCGTATAGAATTCTCAACGGAAAATCTCTATGTGAACGCACAATCAAATTTAAGATTCGTTCCGGCGCCGTTCACAGCAATTCGGTCGGAAGTATGGAACGACTTGGCGCCTATGACGTCAATATCTTAAATTGAAAGTGTAAAAATACGGCTTGTGCATGAACTGAAGCCACTCGAACTTCTCAATCGACATCGCTTTGCTTTATGAGCTCTTGAAAGGTTCGAACAAGATCGAATGGGTATGTAGATAAGCGATCGTTCACGCCTGAAATTGAAGCTCGTTGTCTGGGCGACATTTGGTTTCAACAACGCGGCGTCACTTCCCACACAGCGCATCAACCAATGGATTTATTAAGAGAGCATTTCGGATAGTCGATAATTTCACGATTTGGGCTGGTCCATGCCCTTCAAGTTCATGTGATATCACAGACTTTTTCCTTGGGGGATTGCGGGTAAATCCGCTTCGTTTGAGACATTAAAGCAAAACATCACGCGTGTCATTCGCCAGCAAATTGGAATCATCATCCATAATCATCATGGACCATCAGACACGTAGCCACGATCAATATTTGAAAGAGATAATCTTCAAAAAATAAATGCAAAATAAGGTTTTTTGGAATGATAATAAACATTTGCCATTCATTTTCAGTTCTCTGTGTTTTTTGATTTTGAATTCTTTAAAAATTAGTTAACTCAAAATGGATAACCCTTTATAAAACAAAAGTTTATGATAGAAAAGGAATTTCCTGAAAAAAAATGCTTTAAATACATTTTATTTCTGTTTATTTTCGATGGCGTAAAATGGCTAACCCGTCATGTGTAAATGATAATGTGATTGTGCGCGTGCAGAAATTTTTTTAGTAATAAAAAAAATAGTTTTTTTCCGCAATTCATAACAACACCTTTTTTAAGCCACAAAGCTAATAAAAAACTGCAAATTTAGATGTGCATAAGACTTAATGATTAATTTATGCGCACGCATTTATGTTTATAAATGAATTTTTCCAAAATTTCATCATTAAATGTATGACATGTCATGTAAAGGTTTTGGGGTACATGTAAAAATATATGTATGTATTGTATAAGTGTATATGTATGTATGTACTGGTATAAACAAATGCAAAAAATGCAATATAATGCATTTCCTAATCTTAAAGAAAAGTATTTTTATTAAAATATTAAAATTTTTTTATAAATGACCTTACTCATGATGAGCTTTTTTTGATATGTTTGTACCAAATAATGTAAATAAGTGTCTTCAATGAACATATGTACATATGCGTTTACATGTAACAATGCCGCTATGCACGTATGTGTGTCTGTTACCTCTGGTGGTGGACTCGATGAGCTGCCCAATGACGATATACTTGCGCCATCACGTCCTGGCGTCAGTCCATCGATGTCACATTCAGACGTCGTATCGGAATCGCTTAGACGTGACATTGTGCTGGGCGGTGATAAATGATCTGTCGGTGTCAAAATCATAATGTCCGCTTCATTTTGATCGTCGTGATGCAACTATGTGATTGGAGTAGGAGAGGAAGGGAGGTGATGTTAAGCTTTTGGAAAAAAAAGTCTTTCAAATTTCAAATAAATACTACACAAAGCACAAGGGTTTCGCTTACAACACTTGGGGTTTGGGTGTGCGTGTGCGGGTATGTAATACTTATGTTTGTACGAATATGTATGTATGTATGTATCGACTAATAAGCGTGAGTACGTAGTGCACCGATTACACATACAAAGAACGCTTGCTCTTCTCCAGGTGAATGTTTAATGAAGAAACCAAAACTCTTTTGGATGTGAAGTGTATTTATGTTATTACGTTGTAATTTTATAACTTATTTGTGATAATTGTGGTCATAT